TGCAGTCATACCTGTCCCCCCCACACCACCCATGGGGCCTGGGCCTGCTCCCCCTACCCTTCACGGGTCGTGCCTGCTCCCTCTACCCCTTGCAGGTTGTGCTTGTCCCCCCACCACACCTGAGGGTCACACCTGCACCTTACCCTAACCACAAGTTGCACCTCTCCCCATTCCTTGGTGCATCCCCAATCCTCTCCATCCTGCTGGACCCTCAACCCCCTCAGCTAGCTCCCCGCGACTTACCTGATATTGGGCAGCCATTGCTTTAACCTCCCCTTAATGATCCCAGATGTCTATACTTAGCCAAAATAGCTGAAACCCTTTTAAGATCAACCTGGGTGGATGTAGTATCAGATTTAACTGTTTTAAGCTAAATCAGTTTATTGAACTTCTGTCCCGGTTCCCATCCAGATTTAAGTTAACTCACAATCCCTCAGCATCCCAGGATGCTTTGCACCTCCCCTGCAAACCTCCCTTTGCAGGGTGCACCGCAGGCTAGCCTTACCCCAAACTGTCTGCTCCAGCAGAGCAGGAAGGCATGCTCTAGCACCCCTCCAGCTTCTGGCCTGGGCCACTACAGGCATGCGGCTGCATTTCCAGAATCAAAAGTGAATATCTGTGTACTTGTTTATCGGTTTAATCTACATAACTTAAACTAACCTGCAAAGATTGAATCAATTCAACCTTGGGCTTTTGGACTGTCTGTACTTAGCCATACAGGCTGCCTGGAGGCCTGGGTGCAATTATCAGAAGGAAGCTAGCTGATTTCTGAAGCTCAGCTTCAGGGGTCCTGAAACAACAGCTAAGGGTGGATTGTAACCTGGGGCTCAGCTGGGTTTTTAGATATGGCCAAAATGTACATCAGTAGCAAAGAAATAAATACAGAGACTTGAAGGCTGAAATCATCACACCTGGGGTTTTGTTCACAAAGGTGAAAAAATTCCAATCCTACTCTTTCATTAAGCCCTGCTGAGGGAACCCCAATCCCGGCTTTTCCTTCTGACCCTTAGACTGGCACCGGCCAGCTTGGACATACCTTACGGACTGCTTCACCATTCTCAGGAGTTCCTGAAACAAAACACAACACAACATGATTTATTGGGGAAAGATGGATGTGAATGAGTCTTGACTTTAATAGAGAAACAACTGTGCTTCACGAGGACCCAGAGATCCAGGGAAGGATTCTTGATTACTGGTTCCAGGTCAGAGTTTGGCCTTGCGACTTTTGCTTGCTTGTTCACTCTTTACCATGTCACACTAATAGCGTATAGCCAATATGTACACATGCACAGCAACAAATGCCACCTGCACTGGACTCCCTGTGTGCAAAGGCCCCAAATGCAACAACTGCTGCAGCTGTCTCCCCCTCCGAATGGGGTGGACAGTGCACGTATCTGCCAGGCAGGGCTGGGAGAGCAGCCAGGAGTCCTGATACTCCAAGCAGCCACAAGCCTGCTCACCCCTTCATGAGTTAAGGGGGCCTCACCTGCATCCCTGTGAAAGTGAGCAGATAGAGCTGTTTCCCCAGGGTGTTTAACTCCCCTTTCCCATTGAATCCCATAAAATAGCTTAAACAAACGGAAAGGCTTCCACTCTCCCAAACTCCATGGGACACCATGGGAGGCAGCACAGGCAGCCCACCCCACTCTGGTGCCTCAGATTTGCTTGCAGGGTGCAGCAAGGGGAAAGGTGTCTGGACAGAAAGAAAAAGCAAAAGCAGGACCCGGCTGGCAACTGCACTACGCAGAGCAAGAAGCTGTTCGAAGCAGGAGCCAGGGCCTTTCTAAAGCACTTTGTGTTCTGCAGTGAGAGCGATGTGTTATTCTTCGGGTGGGAGTAGGGCTCCTCAGGTCTGTTCTCAGCATTGCCACTTGACCCTGAGCAAACCACTCCAATTCTTTCATTCTTGGCTCCTCCATCTGTGGAATAATACTTGTTTCTCTCCCAGAATAATACTTGGATAATACTTGTCTCCCTCCCAGAGTCTGTGGGGACTACTTTATAATGCAGGGAGATGCTGGATTAACACCATCTGAATGGCACAGACCAGTTTTCCATGGCAAAGTCGGAGGGTGGATTTTGGAACCACAGAAATGCCCAGCTCAAAGCAAACAAGTAAACAAGAAGCAGGAGCAGAAGCTGAGAGCGCACGGCTGTTCTTCCAACTGGAAGCTGTTGGGATGTTTTCAGTTAAAGAAAGTTCATTGGCTTTGTCTTGTCTGGTCTTGGCCTGAACTCTAAATTACTGTGAAACAAAACCTGCTTTCTCCCTCACCACTGCAGCTCTCCATGGGAGCTGGAAGCCTCCTCAAAGGCCCCCTCTTGTTGCCTTTTGGAGGCTCCTCATTAAAGTCAGCAGGAGTCCCTTTGGGCTCCTTTCTGAGGGGCTGATGGAGGCTTTTGGAGGGAACTGGCTGCATTGAAGTTTCCAACTCCCCTGTGGTGGCACAGGATGGGGCTATTCAAAGGCCTATTGTGAGAGCTGCCTCCAGTGATCACCTCCTGAAAAGACCATAAGTAACCAAGGGGCAGCACTAACTCAGAGCTTGGGACAGAGACATTTGTGCAGCCCACAAACCAAAGCTGGCCTGGCGCTTTGTGAGACTCCACAGTGCAAAGGATGGGGGAAGAGAGGAAAAGTAGCAGCGATGCAAACCACGCATGCCCAGAGCAGCCTCCACCAAGGACTACTCCAGCATCGCAGCTAGGTTGCAGCCCTGCAGCTCGGACTAAAAGGGTCGTACCCTCGGTGAACCTAGGATGTGGGCTCAAACTTCACACTAGATATGGATGCAACTGTTGAGCACCATGCAGCACAGAGCCATCCTGAACATCCCGGCATAATGGGATGTGGTGGAATGGATGGGTCAAGAATTGGGGGATTTTTTCTCCACCTTTTTAGACACATTTGACTCCACCTAGATTAGCAGTAACCCAAAGCGCTTGCTGTCAGACAGCTGTCGTGTGTGCTGCATAATCTGTGGGGCTCACCACAGCAAAAACAATGCTGTCGGCACAAACTGCGCACCTAGAGCACAGGTTTCATGCTAGCTTGGCAGCTCTGCTGGGCACAGGACTGACTGCAAGGCTCGCATCCTCCATTGCTCCATACTCAGATGCCTGCTCCCTCTCTTCCCAATGCACTGCACCAGAACTGTGGTGGCACTTGCCCCACAAATAGCCAAGCTGGAGTCAAACCCCGGGAGCACAAAACCTTAGCAGCTTCACTGGAGTAGAGTGGGTCACGCTATGCACTATCCTTGCCTCTAAGGGAGCAGGCCGGTAGGTTATTTAGGGACCAAAACTGCCCCTGGCAAGGGAGACTTCTGGCCAGCAGACGGGAAAAGCATGCAGCTGATAGAAGACCCCGCAAGGAGCTGAGGAAGCACAGAGGAGGGGCAGGACCCCTGATACAGAGGGGGAGGAGGTGCAATGACGGGGGGACGGTGCTTTGTGTTGCCTCAACCCCCATGTTCGCTGACTGGTACCCTTGGCCCTGAAAGGGTTTGAGCGGTGGACAAGGGGAGCTGGAGGGCTGCAATGGGCGCCAGCTGTGAGGGTTCATTCAGGTGGTGCTGTCCATGTCCATTCATTGAGGCACAACCATCAGCCACGGGCGCCTACACTTGTCCCCCAACTCCCCTGCACATCTCTGCCCTCTCACGTCGGCCAGAGGCTGGCCGAGCTCCCAGGCCTGAAACCCACCAGCTCTTCAGCCCTGCAGTCTACCACGCTCGCCCTGACAGAGCGAGGCTCCGCAGCCTCTTCCCCAAGCAGCCCAGTCACCTCACAACCCACTGCAGACATGAGCTGCTCTTTGGAGGAGACGCCCGGCTGCTCTGCGCTGGCAGGGAGAGACCTGGAGATGCTGAAGTTTAGGCAAGGGTCTGTCTCCCGTGTCTTACTTGCTCTGCACCTTCTAGTCAGGGAGCATCCTTTGCCAGAGCTCCCCTGCCCCAGCTGCTGAACAGGGACGTGGCTCCATTACGAGAGGGGGCTACATATGGGGAGCACCTTGGGGCCCTTCGGGATGAGAAAAAGAGGGGACTCTGCTCATGTTCCTAGAGAAAGACTTAAGAGACGCCAGGAAGAGGGTAAAGCCCAAGCAGCTGAACAGCCTGCATGAGCTTTCTGCCACCCACTGCTGTATGAGGCTGGAAGGCAGCTGAGAGCAGGCGCTCTGCCCCACTCCACTGAGGCCCACGCTGCTCCTGAGGGATGTGGGAAGCCCCAGCCCATCTCAACCACAACCACAACCACTGCCACTTCCCACTGTAGCAAAGACCCTGCAGACTCCTGGTGGGACCTTTTGGGCAGCATGGCAGAAAGGCAGCTCCAGCTTTTGCCCACAAAAGGGGCTGGGGCCCTTCAGGGTGGTTGCTCTAACCCCACCTGAAACACGGCGCTGTGGAGGAAGCTTGTCTCTGGGGCTCCGCTGCATGCGTCCTCTCCAAGACCTTAACAGCTAACATGGGAAATGATACTGGAGTTCACGGGAGCAAGTTAATATGAGTAAAACTGGGCATTGAGAGTGTTTCCACGCAACAGAAACCAGGTTCCAACCCAAGCATTAGGCTTGCCAAAGCCTAGCCTTCCCCTCAGTTGTCCTGTGCTTGCCTCTCCAGCCTCTCTCACGACCTCTACAACCCAGACAGGATTAGGGAACTCAGGCACATCTGACCAGTTGCCAGGTTTAGTGTAGATGACCCTCTGGCTGTGTCTGAAACCCAAGCTAAAGCCACATGATATCAGGGGAGGGCTCCATAAACGCCAAGAAGTGAGGAGGCTCCAGGGATGAACAGGCGTGTGCCTGGATGCAGCAAGTGTCTCCAGTCCAGACTCTGCTCTCACCTGTTTGGCTCGATTCCACCAGGAGCAGCAGGGTTGTAATCAGGCTGAACAAGAAGCGAAAAGCCGTGTCCATTGGAGCGGAAGGAGCTGGTGCCTGGAGGGAGCCCCCACTGGAGATGAAAAGCAGGTAGTTAAAGTCGATTATGTGGTTCATTAGTGCTGGGTAAAGTGTCACTGCGTCTTGGATTTTCTGCATCTGTTTTAAATGTCCTAATTCAAAGTAAGGGTGACAGTACAACCATGGCTTATAAGAATCAGACACAGCAACTGTGCCTGGAAGGGCTTCTAAAGCCGGACTTTTGCAGCGCATTTCAGTGCAGCCAAAAGGGGCAAAACAAAAGCAGGGGCCAGCTCACCCAGTGTTCCTGCCCCAGGCATCAGGGCACACAGGGCGAGGGGAATGGGAGAGGCAGGGCCACCAAGGGTCCCTGGGAGTGCTGAAGCGAAGTGGCTGCTGATGTGGAGGGGCTGCTGGAGAAGCAGTGTGCCTTGTGTATGCACTGGCTGGTGGGGGAGAGGGAGCAGTGTGAATAGGGCAGCTGAGCACAGGGAAAGCATTGAAAGCTTGTTGGTTTGTGCCCACCAGGGTTAGGTTAACCCGACAATTGGAAAGTGCGATTCCAGCATGGGCAGCTCTACGTGACTTAGCTATCACAGGGGACAATGGCAGTGAAGCTGCAGCTGTACGATCCCACCAGGATCCTGGGTACACACATGATGGCTGAGGTGCAAACTGATGTGTCCTGACTGCTATAAACACCTGAGCCATAACACAGACCCAGACGCAGTTCATGCAGATTGAAAACTGAACATTCATTTTTTGGGGGGAGGGGGGAGAAAGCTAGAGCTTTATTGAAACATTTTCATTTTATCTCACGACCTGCTCTGTGGCATCTGCTGCCTTAGTACCAAGCAGGGCTCAGGGCTCAGAGCCGCAGCATGCTAGACATCATGCAAACCAAACATCACAGTCAGTTCCTGCCCTGAAACACTTGCATTTCTTGTGAAGCCAATGCTCCGTGCTTTGGTCAAGAGACTCAAATCAGGAGAAAGTTTCCTGGTCCCTTTCCCTATAAAATAGGGCCAAGAAACTGGCTGGCTGAAGCCAAGATGTTCATATAGGACAAGTTGTTTTGAATGTCCAGCTTGATGCATCTTTCATAGATTTCATAGACATCAGGGCTGGAAGGGACCTCAGAAGATCATCGAGTCCAGCCCCCCGCCCAAAGGGCAGGAAGTCAGCTGGGGTCATAGGATCCCAGCAAGATAAGCATCCAGTTTCATCTTGAAGGTGTTCAATGAAGGCGCTTGAACCACCTCCGGTGGCAGGCTGTTCCAGACCTTGGGGGCTCGGACAGTAAAGAAGTTCTTCCTTATGTCCAGCCTGAAACGATCTTGAAGTAGTTTGTGACCATTCGACCTCGTCATCCCTAGGGGCACTCTGGTGAACAAACGTTCCCCCAGATGCTGGTGGTCACCCCTGATAAACTTGTAGGTGGCCATCAGATCACCCCTGAGCCTGCGCTTTTCCAGGCTAAAGAGCCCCATGGCTCTCAGCCTGTCATCGTAGGGTCTGTTTCCCTGACCTCTGATCATGCGCGTGGCTCTTCTCTGGACTCTCTCAAGCTTCTCCACAGAAGTGTCCAGCACTGCGCTTACCCCCCCCTGAAATTCAGCTCCTCAAAGGTGTTTTACCTTGGGCACCTGGATTAAAGCACTCAGAAGAACCTATGTCCTGGAAAATTTTGATGTTTTCTTCCAAGAATTTGCGCCTACACTGAGGAGTCATCAGGTCACAACATCAGCAGCCTCTGCTATTAGTACCAGCATCTCCTCAAATCTTGATGGAAAGGATAGACTAGTCTTTTCCTGACACGGTTAGGGCTTCCTTTTGGGGAGAATGCGGGATGCTCATTTCCCAAAAGTTTAATTGCTCTCAGGCCCCCAAAATCAATGGTTGAAAAGGTTAGTGAACCCTTTCTGTGAAGCCCCCCCACAGAACAACACCCAAGTCCCAAGCACCAGGACTCACCAATTCCTTGTTACACTGCTTAGACTGGGAGGGTACATGCCATCTTATTTGCTTTGTTCCAAAAATCTCTCCTCTCCTTGTTCTATACAGAAGAAAACATAGCAGCTCTTCACCTGTATCAGCATTTTGAATGCTATGATTAGGATTTAGGGTTAATATCACACATGTGAGATCTGCAGAGGAGACTCTCCAGCAAAGTGCTCAGTGAAATCAGTTTCCATTACCTGGTGCTGAACTCACTTTGCATCACTCAGGATTAGGTCCAGAATGAACTTAGACCTGATGGCCACAGTGTTTTCAGCAACTGTTGGTGCTGGCAGGGCTCATAGAGCTCCTCCAGCTATTCCCCTAGCAGGTCTGAGCTCTGAGCGAGATGGAGGGAGCAGAGACCCAGTGATAAAACACAGAAGAAAACAAATCCTGCAACTGCCCCATGTACCAGCAGCCACTGATTCGTTCGGTGGCTGTGCTTCCCAAACTCCTGCTTCCCATTTACTTCTCTTCATCGATTTTAATGCAACTTTCCCCAAGCTTGCAATCTGGCAAAAATACTCAACAGCACAGACAGCGTTGTTCCCAGTGCTCTCACTCCTTGGACTGCCTTCCGTCCCCACTCCAAAAAGAAAAAAGGGCTGAGAAAACTATTGCTAAATCAACATTCCCACTGGCTTTTTTTCCCTCCCATAAAAGGCTTTGAAACTAGGACTTAGTTGTTAAAAATATCAAAGGAAAGGACTAACATTTACTTTGTGATTCTGACTCAAGCTTCTGAGCACTAAGTGCGGAGTGGAGTCCAACAGATCAGCAGCTGCTGCTGCTATGGCACATGAACGACTTACCACAGGTAAATCTGCCATCACTGCACATAAAAGAACAGCAGTACACAACCAGGTTGCACTGAAAATCCAAGTGGCTCATCTCTTTACAACTACACATGCACAGTAAAGTGCTGATTTATTTCTAGTGGCTTGGTATTTCCACCTTCCTCAAAAACATAACAGGCAAGTAGAATATCGACTGGCTGCTAGAGACCTGCTTGTCAAAACAATTCTGGACAACAGCACGTATTAAAAGGACTCATGAATGCCAAACAGAAGTTTGCTCCATGTTGCTGGGGAGGCCAATGCACCTCAACGCCAGTAATCTCAGGTCTAGCAGTACTCTGAGATTACCAGCTGCAAACTCCAGCTATGGCTGAAACTGCTGCTGGGGTCTAGCTTTGCTGCAGCACACGCTTCATCATCTGCCACAGCTCGCCTGCCCAGGAAGCCCGCAATAAAACTACAAAGTTTTATTGTGTTGTGCATTTATTTTTATCTAAACCCACCAGCAGACAGGGTAAAATAGTCACTTCATTAGAAAAGGGAAGGGAAACGTCAGAGCTGTAAAGCTCATTCTTCAGGACCTTTGACTTCCATCATTTTTCAATAAACAAAAAGACGAGCTGTTAAAATCATCTCCATCATTTGCAGAGCTTTTGGAAATTGCTCTGCTTGGGGTGGCACCCAGCTAGCAGTATGCAGGAGCCCATCAGACACAGCTGAACAGAGCTCGATTAAGAAGCAGGCTACTGCATACGACTCAAGTCCTTTCAGCTAAAAAAGAACCGCAGCGATTCAAGGCAGTGTCTCACTTACAGCGATCCCCTCAGCCTCCTCTGGGTCGGCTTGTCAGTGAGCAGCCACAGTGAAGTTGCTGGATAGAGAAAACACACATAACCACTCTCCCCTTTCTGAGATAAAGGGTAGGGCAGAGGAGGAGGAGCCAGGAAAAGGGGCTCCAAGAGGGAGATGCTAACCCAAAGACGGGAGCAGTCCCTTGCAGAAGATGAGGCAGCATGGTCCAGTGGGCAGGGTGACAGACAAGGATATGATAGGGGTGCTATTCCTGGCTCGCCCACTCCCCCACCATGTGGTCTCTGGCAGGTCATTTCTCCTTCCTGTTCCATTGCTTTCCATGTCCCCCACCCACTGCCTTGTCTATTTACCCTGCAAACTCTTTGGGTCAGGGACTGTTCCTTACTGTGTCTGTCCCTGCCTTGCAAGTGGGATGCTAAGCTTGCCAGGGGCCTCGCCTGCAGCACAAGCCAGCCCGGCAATGGTGCGGGCTCTTCTCCCTGCTGCTCTAGTCACTACAGATAAACCCACAAAACATTTAGGCTGGGCTGCAGTGCACTTGCTTATTATTGACTGGCACTTGCCATTATAACTAGGGAGCCTTACAGTTCCCCGCCTCAAAGAGGCTCAGAGACTAGTCATGTTAGGTGCAAACATACACAGGTGCAGTCCTTGCCCTTAAGTGCTCACCAGCTTGGCAACAATTTGAGACAAAATCCCTGTTTCAAGAACTCTTTCAGGACATAGCCCCCAAATGTGGGGCTGGGCTGGGAAACTCAGGACTGCTAGTCACTTTGGGCGTGTCTACATGTTCATGAATGCAGTTGAGGTATGCGCATTAAATCTAGTACTTCCGGGTACCTGTGCACAAGTGCAGAGGTTGCTCTGATGTGCTGTAATAACAGCGCATTGGAGCAGACTCAATAGTCTGCTGTAGCGTGGTAATGACCATACTCCAGCAGTCTCCTGCACCTTGTGTATCAGCATCCCTGCACTCCAGAATGGCGGCGGGGACACTTGAACTAAAGTTCATTGAACAAGCTTTAGTTCAAGTGCCCCTGGCACCATTTTGAAGTGCAGGGATGCTGATACATGAGGCATTAGAGCACTTTAATAAGAGCAGCTCTCAGAGCCCCTCTAATTAAAGCACCGCCTCCCCCACCCCCAGAACACATGTAAAAGTGCCCTCTATTGTGAGGTACTAGAAAAAATGTGCATTAGCTTATTTTAATGTGCATTAGCTAAAGAGCATGGCTTTTAGTGGCAGTGTAATGTACATTAAAATAGACTAATGCACATTAAAGCACACATCTAGATGTGCCTTTTTCTCCTAGTGTTGGTAGATGAATTGGAACCTGTTTGGAATAGTGATGGTGTAGCAAGATACCCTTTTGTCCCCCCCCCAAAATATGAAGCTCCTCCATATGGCAAAAGCCCCTCTTTTAGTATTTGCCCCCTTTTGGGGATGCTTTCTCTTTTCTACCTTTTCTTCCTTCGTCTCTCTTTTCTTCTTTTATTATATCATTATTATTTTTATATAAGGTGTATTTGTAGTGAAAATAGAGCTTGTAGATGCTTTTACAAATGTACTTTAAGTTTAAAAGTAAGTCGTACCATGTAACAATGTTAGCAAGAGCAGGAATCTCTATATGGAGCAGGTCTCTGAACGAATCATGGTCAATTGTATAACACAGTAGCTAGCTTGGATAAGTATGTTAATGAGCAGCAATTAACACCTACAAAATCAGAGACCAAGGAGAAGAAAGAATCAATAAAGAGCCAGGAATTCACAGAAACTTCATTGTTAAAGGTACGGAAGCCCCCGTTTGAACTAATCAATGCTGGAAACAGAACCTTGGGGCTAAAATACCCCCTGATCAACCACTTCCAGAGCTCTATCCATCATGGCAATGAATCAATCAAAATTCATCAACCGACTCCTGAGACTGCACGTACGTGCGGACGTGACCCCTGGGGCTGACAGCTGCCATCCAGCAGCTACCATGAGGGACATCCCTCGAGGTCAACGACCCCTGGATTGGGTAAGCCTGAGAACTGGAGAGTTACCAAAATCTGCCAGAGAGGGATAAAAGGCAGTGAAGAATGACCCCCAATGGCGCCCTCTTTGACCTGACAAGCACCCTGCCTGTTCAGCCAGAAGGACCAGCCAGCAACCCACTTCTGCAGCAACATCGCACTGAAAGAAGCCTCGACTGGCCATCAACGGTGGACTCCAGCACTTGGGGATAGGTATATCTTGACACCAGTGCTTAGGTTGAGCGCTAGATTGTGTGTGTGTGTGTGTGTGTGTGTGTGTGTGTGTGTGTGTGTGTGTGTGTGTGTGTGAGGGGATCAGCACCACGGTTTATGGTCTGACTTTTGCATCCATCCAGTAAACTAGAATTTTATGATGATCCTGCGACTTGGTCCTTTGTACCCAACAATGGCAGGGAGTTTAGTGTACTGTTCAGAGAGAAGCTGACTTGCAACAGGTGTTTTACCCCTAACTGACAATGGATACAACCCACATCTCAGCCATACAACATGTGCAGATATCAGGGTGACAGGCACCTTACCAGCCCAGGAGAAAACAAGGTGGTAGAGCAATTTACAGCTTGGTCTGAGCTCCCCCTGCTTCAGATGGCTGGCAGGCCCTAGCCAATATCTCAGGTGTAGTACCAAGAGGAAAAGCTAGAGTGCTACTGATCCCATCAGGCCAGGAACACAGAACACACACTGGGATAAAATTGGTGTGGATTCTTTGGAGAACGTAGTCACTCTACTACTGGTCAAGTTTCTGGAGGGCATTTCTCAGAACATTATGGTTGTTGACTACCCAGAGATTTGTTACTGAAACTATAGCCACTAGACAGTAGCCTAAAGTAATCCACATTCTTCAAGGAAGAAATGCAAGATCTATGCCTCATAGAGCTTATGAACCAAGGCCTAGAGAATGTAGCAAAACACTGATGGTGAAAAGAGCAGGGGATGGAAGCCAAAGGCTACTGAGATAGAATCCTGTGGTTGTTCACATCAGGTATTTGCACAACTCATGTCTTATTGATGCATGAATGCACATATGCATGCTGAGCTCCCTGTGGGGGAAGTAGGAGAGATAAAAGATGGCTTCTAAACATCCAAGCAATGTCAATACTATTCTAACGTGCTGGCAGTTCTGCTTATAGCAACTGGAGTTAAGGTGTAGGAGACAAACTGAGCCATGGGATGGCAAAGTGACAGACAGACAGCTGCTGAAGATACCAGAGTTTGCTGAAGGCTAATTGGATTGTTGCTTTGCTGGAAGCTTTTCTCAGAGTTTAGAAATACCTCTCTGAATATTTTGCGATAGTTATTTTTAAAAAATGGAAGACTCTACCTTTTAAAGCCACTGTTTCAGCGCAGGAATTAAATGGTTTTTACTGATTTTATATATATAAATAGCAAAAGTGATCAACCATTCCCTGACCATGATCTGTAGGAGAATTTGCCAAAGCACTGTGATACATAATAGAAAAACCCTGGTCACACAAAGATCTATTTGAGATCTCATCCCTGAGTGCCCCTGAAACATAGCTTTAGTCATACAGGGCTCCTATACACATGCAAGAGGGCTGCTCTGACACGCTGTAATTACAGCACATCAGAGCAGACTTGATTAATCATGTCTGCTGGAGTGTCGTAATTACTATGCACCAGCAGACACCAGTGTCATGTGCATCAATCAGCGTTCCCACGCTGAAAAATGGCGATAGGGCACTTTAAACTAAAGCTCATTTGCTGATACATGTGATGCTCAAGGCACTTTAATTAAGGGTGCTAATTAAAGTGCCCTCCCCTGCCTCCTGGAGCACACCTATAAATGCCCAATTTGACCCTACTGTGCCTGCCCACTTATAGAGGCAAGTCGTGGAAATTAATATTCCTAGGCATTTGCGGTAGAAGAGTCTCTTTCACGGAAGATTAATGAGATTGATTCAGTTCAATTTACCTTGTATGGCAGAGGGAAACCGAAGCTTCGGCATGGAAGACGATGAAGTCCGTGTGACAGGTGCTGCCGCTGTACCTTCAGACTTGTGTCCCATTCTAAGCACAATGAGCAGTAGCAGCTCTCCAATGCTTTATGCAGGGAGAAGTCTGTAGTGTAACTTGTTCTATTTCCCCACATACACACCCCAGTCCTGAAATGAGATGTCAAAGCAGAACATGGCAGCCCCTTCTACAAGTAAGGTCAGTCCAACACTGGTACCCAGCTCCCAGGGAGGAAATATGCTTCAAGAATGGCCTCCAGATTGACTCTAAGCAGAGCTCAATGCAAACAGAAAGCTCTTCTGCTGGTACCATCCCATCTCCTCCAAACTGCAACCAAACCTACCTCTGTGTGATCCCAAGCTAAGCATCAACCCAGCATGTCTGCCCAAATATCAAAACTGGAGTACACACTCAGAAAAAGAACTTGCAAAGGTGTGCTGGGTTTATGTAACAGCATCAGCCAGTGAGCTTGCTGTTACAGCATGTAACCCAGGGACCTCATCCAGAGCTCACTGGTGTTAATGGGAATATTTCTATTACCTCTGATATTGTTTGGATCAGGTTCTCATTAGAGAAACCATACAACTCAGGACAAAAGATCACAGTGGGTGAAGAGAAGGGAAGGGAAAATAGATGCACACATGCTTTCTCATAGTTTTCTCTGAAAAGGAAAGGCCAAGGCCAAGGAACTGGGAATGCTTACCACTCATGGATCTTTCTACAGATTTTCTCACTGGGTCCAACTGTTAGGGCAGCTAAATGCCCTTTCTGCAGTGGGGTGCTGGGGCTCTAGCCCCACTTACTTTTCATATCTGTATGTGGTCTCTGCCCTAGAGATATAGCCTGGCTCCTGAGGGGCACAGAGCAGGAGTCTCATCAACTAGGGTTTCATGCTGGTTCCTGTGAATATTTTCTGGGCTATAATAAGATAAAAATTATGTATATGATTTTTCACAGCTGGCAGCTAATGAAGATAATCAGCTAATAAGCCTGACCAGAGGCTGATGAGTATGTGTGGGCTTTGGCTGAGCCATTTTTAAAAGATAAAATCAAGTACTCACCCTGTGCG